TTTCCATTTCCCTGCCGGAATGTAAATGTTTAACGCGCGCGTTGTTCAAGTGAGAAGTAGATAGTACTTAAAGGAAGGTGTTAGAGGATAGAAACAGAACGTGTTCTGCCTGCTTGAAGGCCACGTTGCTAAATTTGATTCTCTTGTTTACGCTGACTTCGGTCAGAGCCACATTGCGAGTACTGTGAAGGCGTTAAGCCATATCTATCTTCATGTTCATTCATTATCTTTGAAGCCAAGGGTTCTGTAAGCAAGAGTTGGTGTCGTCGGTTAAACTTTTAATTTATTATTTGAATTAATATTATTTGAATTAATAAAAGGTATTTTACACCCTCTCCCTGTTTCTGTGATGCTTAGAGGACATCTGAGTATTAGTGATAATTCGCAACTGGTCATTTAGAGCTCTAGCTACCTAAGAAAGCCAGACTATGTAATATATATATGTGGGTGGGGTGTTAAAAATTATATCCTTAAGTAAATAACACTTCCACACCACAGACATTTAAATAAATAATAAAAGAAAAGGTACAGATTTGAATTAAATAACAGTACCGTTGCGCGTTCTCGCGCATGTTAAATGCAAACACAGTTCTGCATGACTTTAAGTATTTAAATAGCTACTCAGCGCCTACTCGCGCTTGCTATTTTAACAGAGTTCTTTTGTGGTAACAAAAGAACTACAGTGGATGGACAAAAATATGGAAACACCTTGTGAAATGCATGTTTGAAAAGAAAGATTGATTTTAATGAAATTTGTAGGTGGCGCTGGCATTTTTGACTACTGACGCCACCTATACAACTTCGTAAATGTGCTAAACAGTTCAGTTGTTGTCGGAGTACTGTTATGTGAGGATGTCATTGCATTATGTCAGAGTTAACAGACTTCGAACGTGGGCAAATTGTTGGAGCACGTGTGGTAGGTGCTTCCGTAAGCAAGGTAGCCGAGGTGTTTAGTGTTTCAAGAGGTACTGTATCGAAGATTTATTCCGCATATTTGAAAAGCGGAAAAAACATCATCTGCTAAATCACAGCGCGGACGAAAGTGTGTCCTGAGTGATCGTGACAGACGATCATTAAGGGCAATTGTGACGAAAAATAAGAAGACCACAGCTGCAAAAGTTACTGCTGAAATGAATGTTGTGTTACCGAACCCTGTGAGTACCAAAACAATTAGAAGGGAGCTTCATAAACAGGGAATTGCTGGCCGTGCTGCAATTGAGAAGCCACTCATCAGTGATGCTAATGCCCGTAACAGGAAAAGGTGGTGTTTAAGTCATAAAGCCTGGACTATAGAGCAGTGGAAGCGAGTAATATGGTCTGACGAGTTTTCTTTCACATTGTTTCCCACTTCTGGCCGAGTTTACGTCTGGAGAACGCCATCTCAAGCCTATAATACAGACTGCTTGTTGCCAAGAGTGAAACATGGCGGGGGTTCTGTTATGGTTTGGGCAGCCATATCGTGGTTCTCTGCTAGCCCCATGATAACTGTGTCAGGGCACATGACTGCCAAGACTTATGTGAACATTTTGGCCGATCAAGTTCATCCCATGGTACAAACTTTGTTTCCCCGATGGTGATGGTGTCTTCCAAGACGACAAAGCCCCTGTTCACACAGCTCACATTGTCCAGGACTGGTTTTCTGAGCACGAGGATGAGTTGTCCCATCTCCCCTGGCCACCACAGTCACCAGACCTGAATATTATCGAACCTTTGTGGTCTACATTGGAACGGAAAGTGCGTTCTCGTTATCCACCGCCAACATCGTTATCTGAACTTGCCACCGTTTTGCAGGAAGAATGGTATAATATTCCCTTGGCAAACATACAGGAACTGTATTTATCCTTTCCGACAAGACTGCAAGCTGTTTTGGATGCCAACGTGTTTCCTACACCATATTAAGCAAAGAAATATGTTTTTTAAAGGTGTTTCCATATTTTTGTCCAACCCCTGTACCTTCGCGTGGAATCAACATCTATCTGACATCATCGTCTTTCGCCTCGCTCTCGCTGTCGGCGCATAGGTGATACCCTCTGGTGGCTGTGTTGAACTAACGGATATTACACACACACACACATATATATATATATATATAATATATATATAATATATATATATATATATATATTATCTATATATATATATATTTATGAGGTATTTCTCCTGCCTTCTTCGCATGCCTTCGTGGTGTGGTGGTCTGCAAGCTGGGCACGTATTCCAGAGGTCTGCTGTTCGATTTACGGCGAAGACGTTGCTAATTTTTCATCTTTCTTGCTTTCAAAAAATCCTAATGTCTCTACAATATATATGTATATATATATATATATAATATAAAATATGAAAGTCACTTAATTGGAAATATGTTTAAAATTTCAAATTTAAAATATCATCATAACCTCTTAAAAGCATTTGTAGTTTCCCTAAAGCAATCACCATGCGAAAACTCTTGTACAATCGCTTTGCAGGATTAAAACAAAGCGCTCTGAGAATATAAATACCTTGGCCACGATTACTCACTCTCTTTTTTGCGGCTTGCTTATGCCTAAGAAAGTCACATCTCTGGCTTACCTGTATTTTTCTACTACTTTAAATGCAAGCTGAGTACGTAGAAATTGTGGGGAGTGTTCAGCATGCATACCAGTTAAGCAAAAATGTATTTCTGATGAACTGCTCTTGTTCAAAATAAAAATGACGAAGTTAGTTGTCAATTTCCTTCCAGTCATCATCTACGCAGCAGTTTTCACGGTCATGACTAAAACGTGTTTGGTTTCATTTTCTCTAACCAACTCTCCAGTAACTTCTATCGACTTTTATTCCATATAGTTTACCAACTAATATGCAGTCTACATTTAGTCACATATACCATCTGTTCACAATTACTAGGTGTATGGCTTATATAAGCTTTAGTCTTTAATTTTTGTTTTCATTTTAGAATTTTAAATTGGCATTTATTTATTATTTTCAGGTACTTTAGCTTCTCATTTACAAGAAAAATAAAACTCATTTTAACTCTAAATTAATCTACTTTAACAAGCAATTCATTTGCTTTTAAACCTTTGAGCCGAATACGAGTAAGCCACTCAGAAGTAAAAGTAGTTTAGCGACTCTGATTTCCGTATCAAAGAGCTCCGGTTCGAATCCCGGAGCAGGCATGGATGTAAATTATCTGTCCTTTCATAGGATGCAACATTGGCCTACTTATTAGGTTCCCCCATTATAAAATGGCCACCGTTTCCTGTCTTGGTATATGCCAAAGCCTATATTAGCTAATGGCCGTCATTGAGGGACAAAACAATATATATATAAGTAAGACTTTTCCATATTGGTTCAGTGCTTAACTGAGAAAAGATATTAATATCTATCAATACCGATAAAAAAACAATTTGTTAAAAATACTTTGAAGAAACCATTGTAGCTGAAAACGGCACTTTAAAACTGTTATTTAACAAGATAAATCCAGCTTCGGTGTTTATTTTCTGCAATCTAACTTAATCAGTTTCATGATAATATTTGTACTGTCAGAGATAAAAAAGAGTATATGTTCTCAAGGGCATTAAGAAACAAATAACAAAACTTGCCGAACAACCAAGTATTATTGTAGCTTCAAGGAAAGCTGTTCATGCTATTATGATTATAGTTACTGTGCATTCCGTTTAAAGAACGAAAAGACACAACTGTGAGCTTTAATAAAACCCATTACTTAGCGATGTATATAAGGGTTTAAAATATTTCAAAAAGACATATTGGTATATCCTATGAGCTCATCAATGATATTTTTTCATATATATTTTAATAAGTTGAGCATATTTCTGTGGCAATTGTGGATAAAATAAATTTCAATTTTTATAAAATATACATCTTGCTGAAAAGTAAAGTAAATATTAATGTAGAATCTGGTTCGTCGAGACGCTTGTTTCAGAAACAAGGATTTCTTTTAAAATAATAAGATAATTAGGTACTGCAAAAAGAAGATGTGTTCTGGACACCAGAAGTTCACCATTGCTTATACAGGTCTCACCTGCATTAATTATAAAACTCCGCTTTAAATCTGATGAAGAGTACCTCGAGAGTCAGATCCGATAGTCTTCCATCCCTCTTCACCTACTACTGACTACTCGAGATAACGTTTGACTAGCCAATATCTTAAGTGCCCTATGCCACAAACACGCTATGCACTTACAAACATCACTATCTTTTCTCGGACCCGAGCACGTAACCAAATGTGCAGCATCCTGCTTCACTAACCTTTAGCTCGATAAAAGTGGCAACAATCAATCAGTCACACGTGACAGGTGAATGCAGCTCCGGACATCCGGACGGCTTTATATAACTAACCGTGTGTCGGCAGGTGCTTGCAACTGTCCAGAGCATCACCCTCCCGGTGCCTCTCAAGGAGCGCATCGAGAGTTTATTGCAGTAAAGGTAAAGATGGCACATGACCGTACAAGGACTAAGTTATATTGCCATTATAAATACACAAAACGCATGCATAAATACATTACAGTAATTGAAAGCACCTAGCACAGTTATTGAATGGATATATACACTAAATAGACAGCATACTTATATATGATACATAAATTACTGGACATTACAGTAAGAGAACATATCTGTACATACTAAGCATACTAATTAATACACCTACGTAATTCTCAGATTACTGTGGTAGCTTTAGTACACAGTTTGCTACGGTGGGATGTGCATATGAATAATACACTATTTACATGCGTTGATACACAGTGCACATAAATATGATGCACAATTTAAGAAAGTTAATATCTACATATATAATATATAAATTACACGTGTTTGGTTCATAAGCGCATCTTAACGAAGCACATATTAACACACAATTAACAAACATAAGAAATACCCGTATATACTGCACAATTTACATCTGATTAATACACAAATACTCATATATGATATGATACGCACAATATGATAGTAAAGTTATATTTCTGGAATACTAGAGTCAGTACTGAGCGTGGTGTGTCATATACCTGGGAATTGCACTTTGGCTGCTCGACACTTCGACTGCGGACCAGCAGCTATTTTTGTGCGCTGATTGGAACCGTATAGGTCCGGGCCTAGTGCCTGTAGGTTGTCCACTATGCACTTAAGTTTCTTAACTGCCTAATACATACACAGAACACCTAAAGAAACATTAGAATACATCGTTAAGATTAAAAATATCTTGGATATAAAGCGCTTTCTACCTTCCGGAAATGCCAGCGGTTCTGAGTTGAATAAATTAGATAAACTATTAAGTCTGTAAAAATATCTGGACCCGGGCACAGCAGCCCATATGTGCAAATTTTCTACATTTGCATGCAATTATGTTCTGTATCCGTGGCAAAAAGTTTCTACATTTACATGTATTTATGTCTGTATTTAAATAGCAGTTTATTACACATAAACAATTCAAGCAAAGTATAAATGAGATTTCATTATTTGTTGAATTTACTATTTGTTTCAGTAGGCTTTCATGAATTTATCATGGCAACGCAATTTGGCGGTATTTAATAATTCCTGGAGATAATTATCAATGAGAGATGTTTAAGCAATATCTTTATCCGCAGCCAAAAGAAATTTCTAACTTTTCCTTTCCTCTTTACATTACCCTTAAATTAGGAATTGAGACTCACGCGCCCCAGAATCAGTTAAATAGGTGTCAGCAGACAGAATGCAGTACCCGGAAGCGTGAAAGAGTATATTTAGTGTGAAAGTTACACTACTGGACAATTTCCAAAGGTAGAAAACAAAACGTTCGGGAGATTTTTCACTTGAAAGTAATTAGTGTTCTGGCCATCGTTCTGAAGTTAATGATGACAAAATTAAAGTCATAATTCAATCGAATCGTCATATAACTGTACTAGATATTGCAAAAAGGTTAAATATATCACATACAACAATTAAAAATTAAAAATCACATAAAATATCTTGGATTCATTAAGAAGCTCTATAACTGAGTTAAGCATGAATTGAAATAAATTTATTTAACGAATGAATATTTACCTTACGCGTTTCAAACATAACCCTTTTTTCCAACTCATTATTGAAACGAATTGTCACTGTTTATGCAGGAATAGATCATCTACAGTAACATTAATAGAAAACGATCGTGGCCCCAAGCATGATGAATCAACGCAAATCGTACCAAAAGCTACACTGCATCAGAAAAAGATCATGTTGCCAATTTGGTGGCATTACAAAGTTGTTATGTATTTTGAATTGCTTTCGAGCAATCAAATGTTTAACTTAGATCTTTAAGCTAGCAACTTATGAAATTGGAGGAAGCAATCAAAGAGAAAAGGGCAGATTTGGCATATCGCAAAGGAATCGTGTTCCACCACTTAAACGCGAGGCCTCACACATCTTTAGCAAACAAGTACGAAATTATTAGATCTTGTTTTGGAAGTGTTGTATCATCGCTCATATAAACCCTATCTTGTCCCATCGGATTATCATTTATTTCTAAGTTTACAAAACCTGTTAAATGGTAAAAATTTCTGTAATAAAATAAAATCGCAATCGGTTGAGCTTTTTGTTGATAAAAGCCAGAAGTTCTATGATCGCGGAATCAAGAAGTTATCAGAGAGATGGTAAAATTTCATGGAACACAATAAAAGGTATGAGTGAATAAAATTAACTTTTTGTATAGCAAAATTTGAGTTTATTTCGCAATATAAAATCGAAATTATTTTCTTGCCAATCCAATAGGTATAATGAATAAATAATTGTAAAATAAAGAGATTTAAGAACGCTTTGCTCATTGCTTTAAATGTAACTCCAAAATAAAGCTGCAACTGAAATAAAAATATAAGATAATTTTCCAGCATTTAATCTGACGTCGTCTATCAAAATGCGCAGAGCTTTCTTAGTTGAAATCAATTCCAAGCTTACGCTGAATTTTTCTTATCTCCAAAGCTTAAGCTGGCTTCTATCTTTTAAAAATCTTATGCCCTAGTTCATTTTTCTTTTGCCTGCAGCACTAAGTATAACAGATTTTAAAAACATCTCCTTCAAAATTTCAAACGAGTGACGATGAAGGAGTTTGGCGAAACATTCAAAGAAGTTCCGAGACATCCAAGCGGAAGATAATGGGAGAACGAAATTGATTCAGTGATGCCCAAGCAAGATAGAGCGAATAACTTAACGATCTGGAATGTTGTAATGGAAAAATATATCAGTGTGGAAATGGCGCATTTTTAATACCTAAATCTCAGATTTCTAAAGTATTGAAATGTCCTTAAGGAGCAAACACTTGAATCAATCAGTGTTGCTTCAGTTATGTGATAACGTTTATTCAAATGTAAAATTTTCTCGGGCAAATGAAAAATCAGCGTTGTCTTGCAAATGTAAAATAACAGTAGAATCCACAGATAGGAATTAAATACTAGGAAACTTAACTACATTTTAGTTTCGTCTTCTGAAGTTAAGAAAAACGGCAATTTGTGTATAATGTTATAGCTTAAATCCGTTTTTTTTTTTTTTTTTTTTTGTTACCAAGAGTATCTACTGAGGTAAACACAGCTGTGTTAAAATAAATATATATCCACTAGCATAAAAATATTCATATAGTTAAAAAAATTCAGTTCCGTTTTGTACAAGCAAGATCATATTTTTTTTTAATATTTGGTAATATGTGAGGGTCGTTCAAGTGAAAGTGATTCGAGGTGTGTATCCATGACATGTGTAGCGACAGAAATGAGACAGATGCATAGGTAGGAACAACAATATTTAATGATTGAAATGCATAGCATGTTTTTTTAAAAATCACCTACTGCGTTAAGGCAGGCGTCCCATTACTTGGGAAGGTTACGAATTCCCTCCGCGAAAAACGATGTCGGTTGATCATGCAACCAGTTCATAACTGCAGCGTTCATAACTCTACCTCCTCGTCTGCGTTGACCCTTTAGGTTTCCTTCAGCGGTCCAAAGATGTGATAGTCGCAAGGTGGTAGATCTGGACTGTAAGTTGGATGTTCCAAAACTTCCTCTTTTTATGGGCACACACTCGGTTTTTATGGGTGACATGCGACCTTGCATTGCCTTGCAGAAGGATGACACCTGATGACTTGGACGTTTGTTTTTGATAGCCTTATGCAAACTTAACAAGCGCTTTGGCGTAAAGTTGGGCATTGATGGAAACATGCGACTCCTTAAACTCCAGTTATAAAGGACACTGAATGTCAAAAACTGCCGTCAACATCAGTGCTGAGTTGTGAATTTTTGGGGCTTATGCGAATCGGGATGTTTCCATTGCATGCAGACAGACTTCCCTGACGATTGTAAGTGGTGACACCAGGGTTAATCCCCTGCTACTATGTGCTGCAGAAAGTCGTCACCGTCAGCCGTGTAGCGCTCCAAATGCTATGAACTGAGGCCCATTCGCTGTTTCTTCTGGTGGTCAGACAGTATGCGGGGTATCCATTGGAAACAAAGTTTTCAATACTTCAGAATGTTGCTGACAATATTATGAGCAGTACCGATGGAAACATTCAACTCATTTTTGCAACGTCACTAATGTTTCGACGTTGATTTGCCTTGATCGCCGTTTCGATGTCCGTAATCAGCTTATCTATCACAATTTTGTGCGCCTGACCGGGCCGCGGCAAATCCGCTGCCTCCTAGCGACCTTCGCTAAACATTCCCGCCCACCTCGTCACCGTGAAGGTCGACGCTCTAGTTTCCCTGTACACAGCCACCATCCTTCTATGAATGTCCACCGGCTCACACCCTTCCAGCATTAAAAACTTAATTACAGCTCGCTGATCCGTTTCCGACGCAGTTTCATCCATACCAGCCATTTTTTAGTGAATGTCACGTCCTTCCGACTGAAGTTAGCACACGCATGCGTGGTACACACAGCTTTACCTTTCGCGTTTGTTTCACGAAAATCCAGTTCAAACTTTTCACATGTGGCGCTTCGAATCACTTTCATTTCAACACGCCTTATATTTTAATGAATAAAGTATTAGTAGTTTTTTTAATTTAGAATTACGTTTTCTACTTAATAATTGGCACTAAAATGTTATCACTTCTTTTCTAATAAATAAACGAAAAGTTTCTTTATTACGATTAAACTAGTAATCAAATTTCTAGGTAAGGAAAAATTTCTATTTTAGTGTTAAATATATATATATATATATATGTATCACTGCTTTTAATATTATTACTATATACAGATATTACTCTTAAATATACATGTTTGATACATGTTTATTTAACATATAAAGTAAACGTATAAATAAGGTAAAAAATTAATTAAATTTTATATTGATTACATAGCATTTAGCACATATACGTAAAATAACAAAACGCATACAAAATATAACATTTATCATATATTCGAACATTTTATTGAGAAAACGAGAAAAAGTGTATCATTTCGTTTTGTAGATGTCATATGACGCAACCTATGAGAAATTTTTCCCGTGAGTACAAGAGTGAAATTAGCCACATATATACAAGAGACACTCTGGCGAGAAAATTCATTCATTAAGCGACATGCAGTTACAAATCCTAATGCACTGGCTGTAAGAGGCGCAAAGTTTTCATAATAATTAACACTTACTATTAATGAATAAAAATATCTTCTTGAAGGTGCCATTTTCATCAGGTTCTTATTAAGTAGATGGGGAGAAATAACAGGAATTTTCATATCAAAATTATAGATATGTATATATATATATATGGTGAATTAATTCTTCTGCTTTACTTTGTTATTCAAAATAAGAAAATATAATGGGCATTTGTGTATGAATGTTTTCTTCAAAAGTTACTCACAAATACGGGCAAATGTTTATGGTCAATAAAGTACTATACGAAGAAGGACAGAAATTAGCAAATAGTTTACTTAAGGTTGTAGTTTACTTAACATATTATTTTTACTAATAGTTATTTTAATTTGTTAGCCTTTTTTTGTCTTCTTTCCCCCTTGCGTTTTCTCGCCAGTGTGTAATTCAGTTAGGGTTAACGAGAGCATATTTAAACTGAAGTACCGAAAACTTTAGTTAGAGCGTGGTTTCGCTATTGAGAGCGCACGTTGTTAATTATACCCGCTGTCAACTTTGAACATCGGCTTCCGAATTATCTTGCCGATGCAGGTAACCTAACAGGTCAACATGTTAGGTTAAATCGAATTGTGTAGTCTTGCATCACTCTGGTTTATACTTTCCTTTCTTAGTTCCCCACCACAAGTAGTTGGTGTCTGTGTAAGCAAATAAGTATGTGTCATCTGTAAACTTAAATAAATAGGGAATAAAAGGGTCCGTTACAGCCTTCTGTTACTGTATTCATCTTCGATTTTTTGGAAGAAGCAGCAGCACAGACTTTTAAGCAGATCTACTTACATTGTATGTCAGCAAAGAAGACCAGATCGCACAAGTTTGACATTAATATTTCCGCCCACCAATATCGTAGGGTATAAAACTGTTGTAAATTAATGATTCCACCTGGTTCGCGACAAGTGTTTTGTGTCCTCGAGTGTAACATGAATACGAGCCATTTTCCCACAGAAAATTGTCAACGACGGCAGTTCTACCCAGCCAAACAGCTCTAATATGTTTTAAACCAATAACTCCAATCAAATCCATCAATATTTGCTCAAAAAGGTTTATTTTAATAAGCAGGAAGTATGATCGTTGCATGCTAAATTAAAACTTACAACTGAATAGTTACTGTTCGAATTTATGCAAAATAAATGAAATTCTCAAGAGGGACTTTAATTTTATTTATTACAAAACTGTCGAATATTACCAAAGGACGGTGTCTCATGAGTGGTCAACTCATTAAGCAAGCCTTCTGATTAGCTTACTTATCGTTGACCAAGACCATCGAGGTTCTCCTGCACTCATTTTGCACCACGGTTATAAGAAGATTTGTAACAAAATGTTGTTGCGTTCTACGGGTTTCGTGGATTTGGAGTGATTGACGACAACACTTGATGAAGAATCAAAACACAATTTGTTCGTCAGTATTGCACAGAACAGTTCCAGAGACGCGTTACAATTTTCGAACAACTACGATAAGCAGGCTGAAATAATCAACATAACAGCCTTCAGGCTATCAGCCTATAACGGTGAAGATAGATTCACGGGAGAGCACTAAAGTACAGCTCTTGACTCGGTCGATCGACGTCAAGCTAATCCCTGAACTCAAAGCAGTACCACTGAACTCAACGCACTGAAGATATACCTCACGATCAACAGCTACTACGGATTTATATAGCTTTTGAGCTGCCTTCGAGAACATTCTGGGGAAAATAAGTAAGAATTCGTTCTAGAATGTTCTCGCTCCGTCTGCGGCATATCGCCCATTTTGTCACCAAATGGACGATTTCGCGCCATCTGAAAACCTGCTTTTCCTTGACATTTTCTGGCAGCCCTATACCCGCTTGCATATTTCACAAGTGCACATCTGTGAAGCCACCGAGGGAGTGGCTTCTAGGATGGACCAATGAGCATCCAGTGATTTTTCTGTCATGTCACATGACCTTTCGCGTGCTTTAATATTTAAGCAAGATGGTTGAAAAAATATTCTGCCACGCAATTTTCTGTACAAAATAATTAAAGCATCGTCGATTGCTTCTGAAACCTTTCATTGCGAAGTTAGATCAAATATAGGCAATTATGAAGATTTCACTACCTAATTGAAATAAATACAAACACATGTTGGATACTTCGCAAAAATATCGATCTGAAATATTACTTAATAAGTGGTAAATAAGATGAAGAAAGAAATATGTGACAAACATCTGAGCCCAAATGCAATCTTTACATAAATCTATGCGTATGAGAAAAATATTTACACCTGTTATATATGTAAATAGAAGTCAGCACTTTTTATTGCAGTCTATATGAAAAAGATGTTCTATAATAATAACCAATGCAGAATTTTACTCAAAGCGAACTTTACTAATTTGCATTCGTATACATTTAGTGTGTTAAATTTCTCATTTAATAACTGGCTCTTAAATGTACTGTCTAGACAAGAAATAATACTCATCAAACAGAGTGAATTTATCTTACTCACAATGAATATATTCAATTCATTTACATATAACTTTTAATATTAGCAATAGATATAATCAGATCATATGTATTCTGAATCTTACACTTAAAAAATTAAAAGAATGCAAGCACTGAAATAAGAAAACACTACATTCATTGCAACCCCAGTCGTTGTCAGCTCAATTAAAAAAATATACACTTGAATTCTCTTAATGCACATAATATTCCGTGAACATCAATCCAAATATTAATGCGTGATAAAAATCGCGAAAGGAAAATGCCAGCGATTAATTAAACTCAAAAAAATGAAAGCACTACAAAATTTCTACTATTACGCCATATAACTGCGAAACAAATGCAAATTAAAACGTAAACAACATACGCTCACATGCACGAAGATTTAGCGTCACAAGAGCAATGGCAGCTCATTGGTCCATTTTCGAAACTCCTCCCTCAGTGGCTACGCTGATGTGCACTTGTGAAATATGCTACCCGCTTTGCTGGGAAGCTATCTTACCGCAGCTGGGCTATAAAACAAGCATTAGTTTCTATAGCATTCACACAAAATGGATAGTTATTTCACATAAAATTAAAAAAATATATAAGAAATATATTTTGCTTATAAACTTCATTTGTTTCTGTGTTGCCGATAATACCTCAAATCCTTAATTACATGATTTTCTGAAGCGTATTTGCTTCCGACTCCATAGCAATATGACCTGTTTATTTGCCTAAAATGAAGTCTAAACTCTTTTCAGCAAAGAGTGTGATACGTTTTCAGCGAAAAGGGCAAACAGAAATGTATTCTGTGTGCCCCGGTTTCGACACCTGAAAACTTTCACCGTTATGTATCCGGTATTATTAAATATTTAAGAGGAATACATATCGTAGCACTGTTTCAAACTAAGAAATACATATCTAACGAAAGAAAAAAGACATTAATAAATAACAAGCAAGCAGGGAAAAAATAAACCCAATTTAGAAGCTTAAATTCAATTTAGTTTTATCTGAAATTACCAAATCTTCTAGCTTTCCCGATGAATTTTCTTCCCAGTTTTAATTAGCAGTTCTAAAACTCTAAAATGCATGCAATATAAGTAAACTAACTAACATTTTTTAGTTGACTTAAGCTTGAAGCTTACAAAACTAACACTTCTGCTTCTCGCTGAAAAGCAAACAACACAAGATAAATGATTCAGATTTCTCGTGTTTAAATTATGTCTCAGCACCTGGATTAATTAATTAATTTCACGAATATCTATTTAATATCCAAAGCAAAGGGCAAACCTATCAACTGATATAAATAAGACACAAAAATAGAAGTTCCTTTACGGCCGGTTTGGAGTTGCCAGTCCTGTTTGTACCAACTTACTTGAAACACCTTTCATTTACATATTGTGGGATAAACGAAATAGTAGGCATACAGGACAGATTTTTAGCGAAAGCAAAAACTTGATGTTAATTAAAGTAAACCATACAAGGTTGGTCTGGAATAGATCAGATCATAATTAATAGAGACTTGTAAGGAAATATGGTTTATTTAAAGTCCATAATATTATTTAATTAATTATTTAAAGTCCATCAGCATTTCTTTCAGTTCATACTAACTGAGCTTTGAAGTTACTCAAAACTTGCTATAAATGACAAAAAGTTTTATTCTACTTGCAAATAAACATAGAATATATTTTTTAGGACAAAATTCAGTACTTTTTAAAGAAATCCTACCTCCGTCTCCTTTACATTTTGGTATCCTTTTATAAACTTTATTGTGAAGGCTCCACATCACAACATTATGTAAAGTAAAATAAATTATGTACCACATCATCACAACATTATGTAAAGTAAATTCTATATTATGTAAAGTAAAATAAATTATGTACAAATAATGCAAAATAAATTATTTACAATATTTCTGATACATCAGATATTTCATTTAAGTAATTAAACAGGTAAAGGTATTAAGCAATAATATTTCTAACCTCAGTTACGAATTAACTGACTGCATGACAGATTCGTATTTGCCTCGATATCCAGGGTAAACACACGTCAGGGATTTCCTTCGAAGGCAGTCCTCTCAAATCAGAGACTTTCCACCTAAGGCAAGGAGACACGTGCTTTGCTGGAATTAATTACCAACCAATTCACTTTACCATACTGTCGCAAAGCGCCCAAGGAATACTTAAGAAATGTTTGAAAATGGTTGACGCATGCGTTTATATTATATATTTAAATAGTAAAACCATCTATGAAGACTGCTAATTCAGGCTTAAGGTACAACCTGGGCAGGAAATAACTAACATTTGGTGTTAATCACTATTTCTCTCTACCAAGAAACGTTAAAGTTTAGTTTTCTCTCTAATTGAATTTAGTTAACCTTCCTTATTACGGCGAATGATCTCCTTTCGGAAATAAAGTCTAATTGAACTACAATATTGTTATGAATTTTGTATTTAGATAGCTAATATTAGTAGAATTATAATTAAAATTATTTTATTTCCCTGTGCATAGCAGCGCGTGACAAGCTTTAAGAGAAAGCTATGCTGGAAAAGTAAAAAATACAAAAGCGCGTGCATTTAACATTGAATAAACGGATATCTCGGTAATTTGTATTTCATTTGAATAAATGTAACTGAATACTATGTTAGCTGTAATCTTAACTCCACTATTTTTGCTTTCCAGAAATCTCGAGAAGCAGAAATTACTAGAAATTCCTCGGGATCGATTGAAAGCTATAAAAAGCGAGGGAGAAAACATCTCACCAGAGTTCCTTAGTTACTGTTGTTGCGAGTTTGGTTCCGAGTGAACTGATATCTGAATTAGCTTTCTCTTTAACTTTGCATTGATTTGTATTTTAACGTTATTAGTAATTTTATTTTAACGTTATTTGAAGTATAGCTACTAACCATCGTGTGTGATACTGTGAATACTTGTACGAATAACCTCTGAGAAAATTCCAGCGTTCTGTTATATATTTTCAATAAGAATAAATTTTATTAACCTTTTTATCGGTCTTGTGCATTCAATCCATTTCGAACCCGTACGCACGCAACAATACTATAGGCAGATGGTTAAACATAACTAAAAGGTTTAATAGAATTTTGCTTTGTATGGCAATTAACATTTAATAACAGTGTAGAATGTATAGGTTTTAACAGAGTGTAGAGTTTAACAGTGTATAATGTATAGGTTTTAACAGAGTGTAGAGTTTAACAGTGTATAATATACAGGTTTAACAGAGTGTAGAGTTTAACAATGTATAATGTATAGGTTTTAACAGAGTGTAGAGTTTAACAGTGTATAATGTATAGGTTTTTAACAGAGTGTAGAGTTTAACAGTGTATAATGTATAGGTTTTAACAGAGTGTAAAGTTTAACAGTGTAGAATGTATAGATTTTAAAACAAGATCGGCAAACTATTTTATTTCACGAAGATTATACTATCTGCACTTTTATGGCTTTCTCACTGAGACTATACTATCTGCATTTTTATGTCTTTCTCACCGACATGCTATTTTACTATTGTATATCTTTTTGTGTTTTCATCGCCACACATTTTACGGAATCCTCAAAAAGTTACATATTTTTTATTTGTTGTTACACCACCCTCACAGTTACCACATGGTAGTACTATCAAAGAACTTTCTATATTCTTGAGTTTCGTTTATGGCCATTTTGTTTGTTTATTCGGTTTTGATGGAGAAATCGATAACAAGAATATTCACACCACGCAATACTGACTTGTGTGAGAGAAGGAAGCGACATTATTTTTTGCCATTTGTATAGTTAGCCATTATCACATTATATTGTCTTAATATTGAGCAAATTTTTCCCTTTACTGTTATTAACATGATGTTAGATAGACCCTAATTATAACACACTGTTCACATGAAAGAATTTAAGACAGCCTATTATGAAGATTTTATTTTTAGCTACATTTTCAGTTTTTTGTAAGATTTTAAATTCATGTTTTCTATCATTTGCAGTGACGTCACTGGGCAAATTATTTATACAGCACCATGTTCATTAATTATTACTACAATAAATTTTGAAATAGAAATTTTTGAAAGAGAAAGTATTAATTCATGAATGCCTTTTTTTATTGTTGTTGTTGAAATGTTTGCATTTCTCAACATTGATTTTGTAGCCTTAACTCCTATTCCACTCCTAATCGATACGTGTATTGTTTCCCGAAGCCGTCACGGCTAATGGCGTATTATTGTACGACCGATTACGATGCTCTTATGATAATTGGCTGTATATCAGAAAAGCAGCTATTCGAAAGGCAACTACATGAGAGATAATGACCGCGTGCATACATGACACATGACGTATACATGACGTATACATGACATTTCGCCACAGTTTAGTTGTCATTATTTTCTACTAAATGGTGTTTTGCTACGAAAATTAAAATTTGGCGGTCTACGACTTATTGTAATAGCAATATGTAATAATATGCATTATTAAGTCGGAAAGTTTTAATACAATAATACGTATTAAAATATACATATTATTGTATTAAAACTATATATATATATATATGTATGTAGAGAGAAAGAGATAGGCAAAACTAAGAAATTTAGAACCAATTTTACAAAAAGACCTAAAAGATGTGCAATTTAATACCAATAAATGTCAAAATATCTTATAAATGTGCAAAAGTATTAAAGAAATGTGAAACTAAAACCAAAAAATTATCAAAACATGAAAAAAATACATGAGAAGAGGTATTCAATCAAAACTGATGTACCGTTATCAAGAGGAGGATACATCACACTCAATTACAATCCCCCTTACATTTGAAATCCACTGAGTTTCTGTATTCAAAATTAGATGATGAACTATCCTTAACTATTTAAGTATAACAGTTCATCTGCAACGTCTAATTATGGATACAGAAAAGCAGTGGATTTCATGTGGAAGGAGTATTGTAAACTGAGTCTGATGTATACTCGTTTTGATAACGTTATATCAAGTTTGATTGAATTCGTCTTCTTTACATACTTTTTTTTTCAAGTTTTTATAATTTTTTATAAAATCAAGTTATATCAAGTTTCATGTGGAAGGAGTATTGTAAATTGAGTCTGATGTATACTCCTTTTGATAACGTTATATCAAGTTTGATTGAATTCGTCTTCTTTACATACTTTTTTTCAGGTTTTTATAATTTTTTTTTATTTTAGTTTCACATTCCTTTAATTCCCCTTTTGCATATTTATAGGAATGAAATTTATTGGTCATGAACATCACCTCTTTTAGGTCTGTGTGTAAAATTGGTTCCAAATTTCTTATTTTTTATCGATACTGATCAATTTTCAGCAGCATATTACTTGTAATACTTGGCATAATTATATTTTTAATTAAAAACAATTATTACTTTGTCATAGTTGTACTGGTGTATACTAATTGAAACAAATAAATCAAATGCTCCTCGTATCTTCTCCAGTATCACCAGTAAACTACTTAACGAAAATTTCATACTTTGAGTCTTGATAAATGCTTCTTTCTCTAATTTATCTCGAGTTTAAATTAATATTAATACAAAGAAGTTAGAAAAGTTAAGAATAATTGCTTGTTCTAATGCGTTCTCTGTGAATAACGATGCAAACTCAGCCAAGATATTTCCTTCATTCTCAGTAATTTTTCCTTAAATTCTGTGGGGTGAAAATAGTTTATTATAAATCAATTACTTTATTTCTTCCCACCCAGTAATAAAATAGAACCTGATTCGTTTGGATTCTCTTGATGGTCTTAAATTTGCCATTCCAAGACATTGACTGAAATGGAAAAAAAACTCCATAAATGACCAACTATGTTTCAGTTTGAAAAGACACATTGCAGAAGATTAGAGCTAGACGTGACAGAAGATTAGAGCAAGACGTGTAAACGTAATTCAGATTATAAACTTTTTTTCGCAACACACAGGACAATTTTTAATGATTTCTTGCAGGAGTTTTATTCATTTGCACGTTTTTTGTTTCTTAAAACTTTTCCAAATAATCTTGTAGAAACTTTTGTGTTTCTTTTGGAAAGAGATACGGGAAAAGCAAACTTTATACTCACCGGGAATCGAAACACAGATCTTTTTTTAGTATACTACCTAAGTGTGTTAATCAGGCAAGAATGCCTTCATTTCCTTAAGCTAGTATCATACCTACAGACGCGAAACGCAATATGAAACTTTTCTTACAAATGCCTTTCCGAGAAGGTCATTTGAAAGGCAATCTTCTGGCCAAGAAAGTTTATACTATTCAGGAAAAATATCTGTTCAACACTATATTTCGCGCAGTCTAGTCAGTCGTGAAGAAGAAAAACCGCGAAACTTAACAACGTAGGCATACTACGTAATATTCCTTGAAGAAAGGATTAATCGAAAAGTTTCGTTCTACGAGACGTTGCGAAAATCTCTTTGCCGGTCTGATAGCAGTTTTCTAAAATGATGTGGTTAATTCTCTTTGGTATGTCTATATATTTATAAATAATGCTAATAATTCTATTAACGCAAGTAATGCTGTTGTTATAAACAAGTAATGCTACTACTGCGTTAATATTTCCGCCAACGTGCATTATGTTTTATGAGTTATTTTCGATTCACATTACTAGCGCCTTACCCATCTTCACATTTACAATACCTCTACTTTAAAGGCCATTTTTGTCTCTGTGGGGTTCCAATCTTTTATCTAGCAACTAAGTGCGTAGAAACCTCTCGAACGGGTCAGCGAATAATCGCTTTAGTTAAGAAACAGAAACGTAAAAGTCAAAAAGTGTTAATTACCCTTTATTGCTAAAAATAAGAATGAACAGTTGGCTTCTTTCTCAGAGCGTACAGCAAAGCCTCCACTTGGGCTTGAACTCAAAGTAATAATAATAAAACTTAACTATTGCTTAAATAGCCGGAGATATCAAGATTTCTAAGTAGTTGGTCCCTTAATATCAAATAAGCTGGCGAAGCTATCAAGGGCCTGAAATACGGTAGAGTGTAGCAATAGCTTAGAAAGTGTGTAGCCAAAAGGCGAAAGCGAGCTAGTCAGAAACTCTGTCTCTCTAACGAAGTCAGTGGAATTTCGACTTAAATACCGTTCTCACTCATTTGCATTAACCGCAATTCAAAAAAACACATTCTGGTAGGAAATTGTAAGCTGAAATTAGGAGGGATAGGAATATGTTAAAATCTTAGAATAAACCTTACACCTCAATATGGATAGATTTTCTCTGTAGTGTTATAGCTTTTGTTATACTACTAATGAAGAAATGGCGAATTGTTAAATTTTGCAATATTTCAACAAATAAACTAAAATTTAAATTCAAATAATTAAGACAAAAAAATGTGGCAAAATGTACAAGTATATGTTGAAAATAAATGCATTTTTCTCGTGTTATAACAAATTTAACTT